AAAAGAATTTGTTTAACCATCGAAAGGACACATAAATTCAAGTGATTCCTAAGTTTTCTTTTCCTCAAATATTTATTCTATACAAGAAGTACAAATATTGTGTTGACATCTGGCAATTAGAGGATTTTCCTTTAATCTTGATACATCTATTCGACATACTATGCAAGTTTTTATTTAAATTAATGGTATATCGACATCATCTTCTTTTTCTTATAGTTTTTCGTCTTCATTTTTAGGCAATTAGTTATTTTCAACTGTTTATGGTTCATTAATTATTGATTTTAAAGAATTTTTAACTTTTTCTCTTTCTTCTTGTTCATTTATATTCATTTCAAAATATTCTTTCATTTCCTCATCCTCATTTTAAATGCTTATCAATCTTCTTAAACTTAGATATTCTTAATGCATAAAATTTTGTTCACTTTATTTTGCTTTTGCTGGGCATTTTTAGTAAATCTCACTTAATAACAACTAGTTGTACAATAAATGTTCAGTTTTGATTTCTGGGTGAGTTAATTGATTAGCTAGATAAAATTCAAGAATCTAAATTTTATTTTATTTGCCAAATGCGATTAATTTTCTCATTCTATCTGTAAATGGACAAACAACTTTGAAAACTATAGATTCTCCTATTTCAAGGATAAATAGCTAAGTAATCAGGCATTCCTAGCATTACTAGTGAATAAATTTGCATGGACAGGTTAGATAGAGAGTAGGTTTATTTTTTTTATTGAAAGTTCAATCGCATAATTAGCACTCATAGCATTTTGGGTTCGGCATACAAAGGGATGAGAATTTTATTCTCATTTCATTGATATTATTTATCATATCACGATGTTATAATTTTTCTCTTTTAGGTTAATTTTCTTCATCAAATTAATCCAACCCTAAATTTGAAATCAGTAAATATCTTTTGTCGTTAAAAACTGGATTTTACAGAATATTTTTATCAATTTTGCAGACTCTGCAATAGATTACCTATTTTTAACCATTCTTATGATGACAAGGCTAACAAATTTTGTGGACGCAATAGTCTAGTTAATAATAGGTAATTTTTGTATTGTCAATTACAGATAAACATACTATGCAATGTACTTGCTCCATCTATAATTACCTTATATCTTTAACACTAACTCTTCTTATTGAATCTCTTTAAATTAGTTGATTGCTAGTTTGAAATTATGAATGATCCTTAAAATCTTGTGGCTCGCTATATTTTCTCTCTATTTGCAGAAAAATAAAAGAATTGTGTGTCGTGTTTAGTTTGTAATATTCTTCTGTCTTTTTTGCTCGACGATCTGCCTCTCTATGTTGTATTATCTAAGCTAATATCTCATAGTTAAAAGTTAAAGCATCTTCAAGAGTCTTAGGATCTGGAAAAGACTTTTCCTTATTGCAATGTTTACAAAATATTTTCCAGAGAAAATTTCGAACTTCTTATGAATTTTTAAGGCAGTAAAGACAAATCATATGGTTGCAGAATGGGATATTGACAGGAATATTGACTACGTTGAAGATTTCACTGCAATTTATACAGAAAAATAGCTAATATTTAAAAGAGTCAATCTAATCCATTCTCAATGGTTGGCTCACTTCTTAATTCCTTTATTGTACCATGTCTAAAAATTCCGAATTCTAAGTTAGGAGATAACTGCTTCCTCTAGCTCTACTCATATTTGATTTTTGGTAATATTGTTTATTTTAATTTTATTTCTTTGTTTCTTGCCTTAATATTTTTTCAATTTTTAATTCAATATGCTAATTAAAATAAATCACTCACTTAAGAAATAAACTTCGAATTTCATAGACATTTCTTCTTTCCATTCAGTGGGAAGTATTCTAACTGTTCGAGCAAGAAAGAAATCTTCAAATTTATGATGCACTATTGTAAATTAATCCACACTTCCTGCAAATTCTCTTCCATTTTCATGATACTACCATTAAACTCCATCTACTGAGTACATGATCTTAAATTTAGTAACCCACTACTCTTTGTTTTATCGTCCTTAGATTGAAACAGAAGTAACATATCTTGGAGTCATTAAGCAAACTTAAATCCATTATCCAATCTCATTAAAACCTGCTTACCAAGCAGCAGCCCCTTACCTTACTCTACTTTAATTTATCATACATCTGTGAATAGAGTGATCTGGATTATATTCTGATGAGGCTGTAACTGGAAATCCTGAAGCAACAGCAGCAACTTCTCGCTGCTAATCAAAGTATTAATTATTTTAAGATTTCTTGGCTTTTACAGAATTGCATTCACAATTACAAGTACACTTTGATCCTTTATCTAAATTATTTTAAGTTTGCTCCATCCGTACAAAATAGAAATAGTGAGTTATTATAATTGAGTTTATTTAATTATTTATTAATTTTTAATCTAAGTTATATATGCAAAAATATTTCCATTAGGGGTTTTGGGGTTTTGGGG